ATTCGCTTACAAGCAAACGCTCAGGTGTTCGGTGTGTGCAGATCGTCCGGACTGGTGACTGCTATGACTAGAACACTCTGATCGTTCTATTCTTGTAAAAGTTGTTTTGGGGAAGCGAGTGTTATTATTAATTATTTATAGGTCTTTTTATTGTCCATGTAATTCAAATAGAAATCCAGTGTTAATGAGTGAGCTGAAAGTGTAATTAAAATAAGTGTGATCGCGTCGCATTCGCTGTAATTTGCACCGCTGCTGTTTCGGCATCGACCATTAAATAAAACCCGTATACCCGTATAGCAATCACATTGCCTCAAAAAAAGAAATAGAGAAAAAAAAAATCGCGAGGTTAGCACGAATTTCGCACGATAGTCGTTGCTTATGTGTGTATTCATCATACGATGCACACTCAACCTTGAGGTATAGTTATTTAGGTTCGTGTGTGTGGGTAGTTGTTACTCGTGTGTCGTTTGCGCATCCTTTCTCTGCATTTTCAGTCATTGTGTATTACCAACTCATGTAGGCCTATATAATGTATATTTTAGTTATCGTAGAAAGCACAGATTTGTGGATACTTCATTCTTTCAAGTAACGGGTATCGTAGTAACACTCTTGGTTTTAATAGCCTGAGTTTTACTTGAGATGTGTGCCGGGTGGGCGCGTTGTAGTGACACTCTCACCCTAAGTATACTTTAGCAGATACGAATCAGAGAGTGTCATCGAAAATATAGTGAATAGCTGTCATTTCACTCCCTTAAATAGACGCTGATGTATTTTCTTTACATTGCTGCATTAAGTTCGCATATTAACGATACGAATGATAGAATGTATCCAAAATTAAAGTGCATGCAGCTGTCATTGGCCTCCTTATACACTGTGTTTTGGAAACCTGACAGACATGTATCGTAAATCTGTTGTTTATAAATTTTAATAGTTAACGACAAAGCGAAACTTAGTACAAAAATCAGGAAAAATCAAAGCGTAATATTGGAATATTATAATCTTTCTTATCGGTTACGGATGGAGCTACCTCCGGTGACATATTTGTGTCACACCCGTGGCGATAGCAACATGTGCATGGTACTTGTCGATGGCTTATAGCTGTCACAGTTTGTTCGAGAGGAACGCGTGTTAGCACGTGTGGCTAAAACTACTAGCCCGCAATTGCAGCAGGCTTCGAAGAAGCCAAGACAGCCAGTGAGCTAACCTATGTACGTATGTTTACTGGCAGAACTAAAGTAGCTTATAGTTCCTAATGGCGATTCCATAGTAATACGTGTACCTTGGCATTTTATAAAACTAAATCATGCGTTTAAATGCGGTCCCTATTTGACTGTGATCAGGGAGCAAAACTCACGAAAGAATATTGTGTTATATTAGGTATCAATTTACCGTATACCAATTAGAGACCTAATTTTGTGTTTCTTACAATGGTGGTAGCTTTCCTAATGGGTAGAGAGTGATAATTGTGTTTGTTTGAACCTCTCAGCACAGTCTTTTGATCTATTAGATCATTGTCATACTTCGTTCCTCGCGCTTTACCGATCCTAAGCCCGTTCGCTCACGCTACAGGGGACGTATATATAGTCTAGCTGCGTTGAAGGTTATTTTCGGCATTGACGGCTCCCCTCGTAGGCGTGCGACCAGGCGTTGTGCAAGGAGCTTAGACGTGCGGTATATGTTGGCGGCTCGTCTATCCCGCGCCCGGTCGATCCATGGCTCACTCGCGTCGTTCAATTCCCTGCACTCGTTTGCTCTACGTAAATCACCGTACCCCTGTGTGCGTTGCGTGCGTGCGTGCGTGCGTGCGTGCGTGTGTGCGTGTGTGTCTGCCTGTGTGCGTCTATGCGTGACGTGAGTGCGTGTGGTGTTTGCTGGTGTGCGTGCGGGGTGTGTGTGTTCTGCCTGCGTGCCGTGCGTGCGATCGTGCGGGCGTGTGTGTCTGCCTGGTCCGCGTGACCGTGCCGCGCGCGGCGTGTGTCTGCTGCGTGCGCTGTGCGGGCGGCGCGCATGTTGTGTGTCTCGCCTGCGTGCGTGCGTGCGCTGCGTGCGGGTGCGGGACGGGCGGGCGTGTTGTGGTGTCGGCCGTGGCTGCGTGCGCGTGCGGTCGGGCGCGTGGTGTGAGTTGCCAGTGTGCGGTCAACGCACATGCCTATGTCACATGATTACGTGTGTGGGCGGGAGGGAAGGGAGGAGCTGCTGTGAAACCCAGTGCTCTTTTTGTACAACATTTGCGGCACGTGCAACATTATGAGCAGACAACCACGTGTGTGTTCGTCGGAGTTAGGGGAGGTGTGCTTTTTATACCTGGGGAGGGAGGGAGCGAGGCAGGGACGGCGTCTTCAACTTAGCGCCGCACGCCCATTTCTACAGAAACTAAAGACATCCTGCGTATAACACATGCATGCACGTTCACACAAGCATATCTTTTTCAAGCGTTTTTTCAAATTGGCACATTACCGAGGGCAAATTGGGTGTATGTGTCAATTATTAGGATTTATCATATACACGCATGAATGTGTGCTAATTTGCTTATTGGAACTCGTTTATGTGGCAAATCCTGGTAATAGTTGAGACTGAGACGTTATCTTGTAACAATTTTTTGGCCACATTAATTACATAACAAATTAGGCATTCATTCATTGATAAAAGGGGAAAAGCGTGTGTTAAAATAACATGGTTTATAGCTCACACTGACATCGTCAACATGATCTATTGGGCCATGGGGTGTCGTCCGTCCGTACGCCGTCCGTCGTCCGTCCGTCAACGATTTGGCACGGTCAACGATAACTCAAGAACGCGTTTGACCCACATGTTTTCAAAATTGCATATACACATTTTTTTGGTTGTTTTTTTTTTTTTTTTTTTTTTTTTTTTTTTTTTATTTTTTTTTTTGTTTTTTTTTTTTTTTTTTTTTTTTTTTTATTTTTTTTTTTTTTTTTTTTTTTTTTTTTTTTGTTTTACTCTTATTGGATGAGGTCCTTTGGTGAATCGTCATTATTGTGGAGGGGCAGCCGCCATGTCGACCTTCGCTTTCGAGCCCTACGTCCATCTTTCATTTGGCATCAATATGTAACTGGCCATAGCCAGCTCAGTTCAGGTTCAACGGATTTTCAAGGGATCTGCCGTTCTTTGGAAATAATGGGTACTTGGCCAACCAAAATATATCACACGGGGCTTTATATATAGTTTTTTTAAAATTATGGTAAACCTTAAGTAGCATTATTTGTCAATTTCCACTCTGCATTTCAGTGTAACAGGGGAGGCAGCAGTAGTGGATATGGTAGCAGTGGAGGCAGCAGTGGTGGATATGGCAACAGTGGAGGCAGCAGTGGTGGATATGGCAACAGTGGAGGCAGCAGTGGTGGATATGGCAACCGCGGAGGCAGCAGTGGTGGATATGGCAACGATGGAGGAAATAGTAATGGTGGAAGCAAGGGCAATAGTGGAACCTATGGCAACACCTGGTGGCAATAAAAGTAGTTGTAGTGTTTTACGTGAATAAATGTGAATGCAGATGAAGTGTAGAGCACTGCCAAACATGTGTTACTGGCTACGAGGAAACATACTTATACAGACTTTTGCTAATAGGAGAATTTATGAATCTTGCACGAAACCTGAAAATAATTAATAAAATCACCAAGAGTCAACAAGAAACGCGCCGATTATGTCCGTGGAGATTTACATAGCTCCTGCCAGGTCGCAAAGTAACAACCATCACTCACTTTATAGGCTACAGAAATATAATGTCTTCTTGACAGGGTATCACGTACATAACAGAAATGTTTCTCACGTTTTTTTTTCACAAGTGGCCCTTCATTTAAATGATCATACTAGTAAATATAAAGGTTAAAAGAAAGCACAACATTCATGTAAATATAGTTTAAATTGTTAGATAATAGGTATATATCCATTAGTTGTTTATAATATTCTCATCTTTATTATCAAGCACATATCTAAAACGAGAATTACTAGTCTGTTATAACCTGTTGATGACCGACTACATAAAAATGCAACTATATTACTTTTCAAACATGCCTATATTTTATGGCATAGATATTTTCGTGATTACACAAACACTTAATATTTAGGAAACACTGTCACCTGAAATAAAATGAAATGAAATGAAATGAAATGAAATGAAATAAAATGAATGAATGGCCCATTGATCGTAAATAATGTTTGTGAAAACCTACTGTTTGATTGCAAGGTAGTAACTTAAAAGCCAACACTGGTAATTCTAGGGATCAATATGAGCTGGTAATTGAATAGATTGGTGTATACTAGGTACTATAAATAAATAATGAACAGTAATGGATATATTAGTTTCATTCAGGTTTAAGTGAAATATAGATAATGTAAGATGCTACATAATGTATATTATAATAAAAGATTAATAAAACTTGTATTATTCTGAGGTTTGCTTTGACAGAACGAATTTTGTCAAGGAATATTCATCAGAAATTGAATGTTGCGACTCAAATGATGACAGCACCCTGTATGTCTACACAAGTCAACTGGCTTTGGGTTATATATGTAAACGATAGAAACCTCCAAGCTATATGAAACCTTTTCCCCACTTTTAAAAGGGAATCTCAAGTAATATAGGTCCCAGGATTATAAAACAAAGGCTATTTTAGATGCCTTATCTCACCCCAAGACAGAATTATACCTCGTAATATTTTATGTTGAAAGAGCCATACATGCTTCTGATACTATTCTCTGTGTTATGTCTATCAATTGCAAGCCATTACCAAGTAGGAGAGGGAACTACAAGAATACGATCTTATTTTTATGAACTTAAACACACATTATTATCTGAAGCGCAAGAGAAGAATGGGTAAAATCAAACAGTTACATAACTTGGAAGATAATCGCAAAACGAAAACTTACACACAAGAATGCTGGCTGATTCGGGCGATGACATGCACGTGCCTGGCTTCATGGCAAAATAACCAAGGTGATAAATATACACTGTATATAGCTGCTTATAGCATACTCACATCTGCACGCTTGAGCATGTACCACTTGTTGAGAGTCTTCATAGCATACACTTTGCCTGTCACCTTCTCCTTCACCACCGATACCTGCAAGCAGATGAAACAAACTTATTAAACGCAGTATCCTTGATCCACACAACAAAGAACAACACAACATAATATCAGATGCAATGGTTAGCTAGTTTCTTTCAGCTAAGACACTTTTATGAACATGGCTAGAAACACAGAGCCTACGCAATTACTTTATTTGCCTGCCTGCTATCGTATTATCATTGTTATTGAAACAATTACAGGTTCTGCCACTTCTAATTCTTACGGAAAACAATTAAACACAAAACATAATTGCAATAAAACAACTGGCGACAGAAGATAATTAAAATAAATGAACAAGTAGAATCCCATGTGATTGAGTTATACGTCATTCATAATAATATTATTAGGTTTATAATTACTGTATGTTGATATACAAACCTCTCCAAATGCACCTTTGCCAATGACCTTGATAAGCTTGAAGTCATCTTTGCGTAATCGCAACTGCTTTATCGACATCGCAATAGGCTTGGCTAAATAAAATAAAGTAAACTCCGATTTTACATAAAATGCAATTGAATTGAAGGGAAAAACGTTTCTTTAGTACGTAGCAAATAGATGTTATACTGTGGATACATATACCCATACTGATGCACTATAATATATATACTATAGTTGAGTTTTTAGTTTCTTATTTACTGTCAGTGTCTTAGTAATATTACTGACTTGACATGAATACAACTGGGAATATAATAGGTAGCCCGAAACCAGCAACAATTGATAAAAAGCTGTTCAAAAAGATTCACTTGATGTGGATTAATTATCACATTATCAGGCCTTAGAAGCAGTTACTACAACTATCACAACACATCTGGCTAGAGTTTTGCACAGCCCCGAGTTATTACTAGTTACTGTTCATTGCCCTTTATACATTACGCAGACAGATCTATATTCAGAAACTTTCACAGTACATAGCATAAACAAATGTCACGTGTGTGTAAACACTCTTTAATAGATAATCAATGGGAGAACGTCTGTAAAATGAAAGTTCATCACCCAGTGCAAAATTCGTATAATTATCTGGCGTTCACAGTTCTAATTTCATCATGTGTTCAGAATCATCGTAACATTTGGCAAAGTTGATGATCAGCAAGTAAAAGTTATAGTAGCAGACTCAACAAGCTTTGTGGCTTTGGCTTATGTGACTTCAACAGCTGGAAATGCACATTATTTCCCAAAATTTAAAATAAATGAGTGCAATGCAATCACATGAAACGCAGTGACAGGGCAATCTCTCACAACCAGACGTCCCAAATGTCCCGGTCTCACCGGGATCCTCCCGGTATGACACGCTGCTCCCGGTGCCCCGGAATGAGTCCAGAAGCTCTCGGTCGTAACATTTTTCAGCCATATAAAAATTTACATCAGTAAATTACTAAATTTGCCGTTGTTGTTAATGTACTTTGATTCCAGCGAACAATAAAAGGCCACAAATGGCAAGCATTAATGTGATGCAATGTGTAATATACTCGTATAATAATAAATAAATGTGAACCCATAAATTAACATAAATTTGCATTTTATTTTACATGTATACTTTATAAAAAATGGTGGTGTGCCACGACAAACACATATCGCAGCCCGCCACAACTTTTTTTCATGTTTTTGCGCACTGCGAAAAAACGGCGATGGACCATTATCACAAGTGCTCCCTTTCTTGGATTGCTGGCTCCCTTTCTTGGATTTCCCCGGAATGAGTCTAGAAGCTCTCGGTCGTAACATTTTTCAGCCATATAAAAATTTACATCAGTAAATTACTAAATTTGCCGTTGTTGTTGATGTACTTTGATTCCAGCGAACAATAAAAGGCCACAAATGGCAAGCATTAATGTGATGCAATGTGTAATATACTCGTATAATAATAAATAAATGTGAACCCATAAATTAACATAAATTTGCATTTTATTTTACATGTATACTTTATAAAAAATGGTGGTGTGCCGCGACAAACACATATCGATCGCAGCCCGCCACAACTTTTTTTCCTGTTTTTGCGCACTGCGAAAAAACGGCGATGGACCATTATCACAAGTGCTCCCTTTCTTAATTGGATTGCTGGCTCCCTTTCTTGGATTTTCCCAACTTGGGACCCCTGCACAACATGCTTTCACAAAACTTGCATCTGTGCATACATGTGAAAAAACATCAGAATAAACAGTTCCAGAAGATTAAAAATGCAAAAGTTGTTACAGATCGGGATCCACTTTTACACATTCCTTAAACACAGTCTCATCATGACGGAACATCGGAAGAGGGGTTGCAGGTTTCACGCACATGCATGCGCACTACATTAGCGCAGACTACATTAATTCACAGGCCTCAGTATAATGAAGTTACTTGTGCACCGATGGATGGGAGCAAAAGCACAAATAAGCCTTCTTACAGCATCTCGGGACTGCAGATAAGTAAGTATACTGCTACATTCTGCCTGGCAGTACTGCGTTGGCCTGGCAGCCTTCAGGGTTGACGTCATCATTGGGAATTCGAAAAAGCGAGTTCCCGAATAGTAACTGCTGAAGCCGCGTTTCAAAGCGGACAGATCGTATTACTGCTATATAGCTGGCTGTGCAGGACGAGTGAGAAAACGTGATAGTATCAGTGAGAAGGTCGTAGGCCTACACTGAGCTCATGCGTGTGGACAGGAAATCTACAGCCTGCATAAAGCTGCCTGCATATCAAACATCAGTACACGGCCAGTTTAGTAATTCGAGCTAGTCTGCAGCGGTTGCTGACAAAGTTCAAGGTCAGGGCAGCATGTTGCCTATGAATGAAGTGGGTATATGAAGTTGGACAGTAATCATCTTCTTGTAATTCATGTATCACAGTCGTACGTGCGTTTTGAGTTGATCGAGTATACTGTAATATTTCCTACATATTACTGCCCAGTTTTTTTTTTGGAGGGGGGGGGGTGTTATTCTTTTAGTGTTTAGTGTTGCACTGTGAATAGCCAACACCTAAACGTTAAAGGAACGTAATTGTAACTTGGTTCACAGTGCTACATGGACATATTGCTATCACCCTGACCAGAATCCTGGCATCACTCTATATATGCCACAGTTCCACAAGACAGCTTCCATGTCTCCGAGCTTTTTGTCTGGAACCACGCCACATTACCTAATGCCATTTCAACTCCTAATAGTTTTTTATGCGGTACTGACTTCACTCACTGAATAAACGTTCACTCTTCCCTCAAAAAAATTTACAGCGACTTTAGGGAGAAATACATAGGCAGTAACCAAATGCAGATGTACGTGTTGATAACTGTAACTGGCATCACCATCATGCCACCACCATGAACCTGCAGTGTAAGTGTTCGTGCATTCAGCAGTTACTATTAGTTGATAACGCTACCCTATATGCTGTTTACTAACAAGAAATTATAACTGCAGCTTAAACCTTTGTGTTCCTTCCAGTTTTTGATTTTGAAACATAAAGACCTGACATCAGCATTGAGCACGTGAATTTATAAACAATATGCCTAGCTTGATATTCAAGATCCTGCATCAGATGTGCGCCGTTAAAACTGTGCGTGTGTGCTGAACAGTAAACGCACGTCTATATTGCCCGATCCCCTGTGATGCTGGTAGTAAGCGCATGATGTTTATTTTCGTGCCCCTCGGGTCTGCATGCAGCCGATTCGATTTGGAGCCAAGACCCCGGCCGGCTGTACCAACAGGCAAGAGTCCCGCCGAAAACAACAACAACAGTAGCTAATGGGTCCAGTCTCACTGTCCGCGTGCGCTGCTTATTTGCGGACGCTGTGGTGTGCTGGTGTTGTGGTCAAAGCTGCTACACACCCATCCTGTGATGCGGCTCCTATTTACGTAACTCCCACAGTAACTCCCACCGCGTGACTGTCAACAGGCACTGATACTACAATACAATGCGTAACAGGCCGATCACACACACATACTGTTTACGTGCATGCAGCTGTTCAGCCTGTGTAGAAGTAAGTATACAGGGTGGTGGTATACACGGCCAGAATACAGAAAGCCTATCTCATACGCATCCTGGCACGTTAACAGGAAAGAGAAGGTGGACCCACTGCAATTCATTTTTTGAAATTGTTTCAACATGGAAACTATTATAGTCACTAATAGTTTCCATGTTGAAACAATTTCAAAAAATAATATGAATATAATTGAATATAATATGGGTATATAAATGATTCCACTAATAATTAACTAATTTACCCATATTATATTCACGTTAATTACTATGGTATTATTTCCTGCCACGCACAGATGCATACGATTATTTATTCCTGTCAACGTTCTTGAAATGCAAAGCATGGTGAACTTCGCAATATGAAATTTATACCTATTTCTGCAAACTGTGAGAGTGTCTTCTCACGCCGGAGAGAGGAATGGCTGCATTCCTCATACAGCACGATAAGAATATCCATCAGGGTCTCAAGACTTAGAACCTAGAACGAAAACAGCTGATCACGAATATTGATAAAGGAAAGATATAACAGTGAGCATGAGAAAACATCAAGAAATAAATTATTATGATATATATAATATAATATAAAAATATTATATATATATAGATTGTATATATAATAAATTCATTATTAATAAAATTACTATCATCACATTCACACTAATCATTGGCAAGTTTTTACTGCAGGCAGTTGAAGAGCGTTAAAGTTTTATTTAAAAAAATCTTTACGATAAATGCCTATTCAAAGAATTTCTTCACTTCACATTTCGAGTCGAGATATCTGTACAGCTCAGCTCAACCAGGACAGTAACACATGGACTCGGCAAATACACCACATGTTGTTTGAGTAACGCAGATGGGGGGAGAGGAGACGCGAGCAGGATATGCAGCCGCAAAAAACCGAGAGACGGGGCCGGAACCGAGGCAGTCTGCACTCAGCTATGCACATTCACACACCGAAGCCCCGAAAACTCCCCCGTACGCACGATGGAGACTCCGATCTCGATCGCGCAGCTTGCAGCTAGAGCCTCTATCCCTGCTGCGATGGGCGTCATACATATAGGTGGTATCATATCTACCTCTCCCGGGTGCTGTCGCGGACCCCTCAGCCACATGCTCTCCAGCCGCCGCAGCCTGGCCTCGGGGCCGAGCTTCGCCTCCTGATCCATGGCTTCCAAACCTCTGTGACACGTTTCACAGCGTCGTCGGCTCAAATCGCCGCGAGCGATCACAGACTTCTGCGAAGGAAGCAAATTATTCCACACTAGGGCTTCACTGTGGGCAGATCATCGCAGGGAGTGTTACGAGTTGCACAGGATTGCTGCGAACTACGCGGGCAACACACATACACACACGCGCGCGCACTGCGTGTGACCTTGCTACGACACTGTGCAGCTGGTAGAGGGAGGGAAGAGAGCGGAAGCCTCAGCAGAGGTAACTTTATCTCGCGCTCGTCGGCCGCCGAGTATCGCACTGCCGGAGTGCTCGCCGTCTCTGCTGCGCCACAGACAAGAGAACATGCAGTTGGGTGCCTACCTTCAGACCCTTGCGTAATTGCGGGTGTCTATTTTCAGCTGGTCGTGCTGATGCATGGTTTCGCTGGCGACTATGGTTGCACTCGTAATACTGCTACAGCTGCTCTGGGCTTTAGTCAGTCAGTGTGCATGGGCTGCAATGATGTCTGTCCCTTTATAACATAAAAACCTGTGTATTTTGTTAACACAGAAAAAATACGTAAGCACACGAACATACATAACCTTAGCGTATTGTGCTAATTGAGTGTCATACATTTGCATGCGAGGCAAAAGAAGAGAGTTGAGAAAGATAAGTAAATAACACGTGGAAGAAGGGAAACCCTTCTCACACATGCGTAGTACATATATAATTTTGTTAATAATGAATTGGGAATGATTTCCATATAATTAGTTTACTAATAATAAAGACAAATATGCTGTTAGGCAACATTTCACGTGCAAATGTTCATAAAGATATATACATACCAATTAGAATACTTGAAATGTCAAAAATGGAGACATCGCATATGTTGGTTGCAGGTGTTTGAGCAATACTTGTATAATACACTCGCAATTACAATAGACCCATCAACATGAAATTGCGCATCTTGGTAAAATGGCAGTCACTTGACTTTAAAACCTAATACTTTACATTCCGATAAAGAGTGTAGCAATGTCGCCCCACTTTAGAAACCAAATCAGTTTTATTACAGGTACGATCTGGCGTTAAGATATAACTTGAATCTATGCGGAAACGTTCAGCGAAGGTCCATCCCTGTGAAAAACTCTGCTTCTCTAACAGTGATCACAGCGTGGGCTGCAGCGTATGCGGCCAGTCACTAGGGAGCAATTAGAATGCTGGTAGCTGTGACAAGCGAAACTTGATCAGGACACTACCAACACGTCTATCAGCAGCAGTATTAGGTCAGTGTACATATGCACGTTCCCGTCCCACAACTGCACCCTTTTTCAGTGCGATGCACTCACATAGATCTTGGTCCAGAGCTATAAACCAGATAATTCACGTGTTATTACAAGCCGCTGGTGGATGCATTTAATTGAATTTAAATAGTAGAAAGTGGGATAATATCATAGCTATTTCGTGATGCCTGTGCGTGAAATGTCAAAAGCAATTAATGTCGTAAGGAACGAAGATACATCTCGTGCTTATATTAATCACAGCAGAATTTAATAATCATTGATATGTCATTCACACCTCATCATACCATCTTACATTATATAACAATTGTAAATCGTGATAAAATAACCCATTATAATTATTTGTAATGCCTACGTAATTACAATAAAATCCATGGTACACACATAATCATTATAAATTATCGTGGGAATTAAGCTCATAAAGATATAAAGAGCTCATCGCAACAACTTTGTTAAAGTGAGGTCCTGATGATACATGCATAAATAGATCTATATATATTTATATATGTAGTTAACAACACAATTAGTTCACAAAGATGAGTTGACTAAACTTTACTATATGGTCAATAAGGCAGACGTTGGTCTTTCAGACTTCAGATCACAGTTAAAATCATATTCAACAATTATAAATGTACTTATTCTAAAAATCTGAATAATGATATCAATATTCAATGACAACTCTCTAGGTTTTACGAAGTATTTCAGCGTAAACCACACTTGTTAGATTAATTCTTAACTTTGAACAAGCAGTTCATCAACAACTTTAACACGCATTTACCTATACTATAGTCTATATGCAACCATTTGTTTTTCTACAAAAATTTCTATATTCATTATTGTTATTTTTGAGAAATTGGTTGTCTACATTTGTGATATCACCTTATAAACGATAACATTAGAGTGAAAACACCTAAGTCATTCATCAAAACTACGAACTGAGAAAAGCTCCAGATATTTAGTGTAACCTGAGATTTGGGGTACCCCATCAGATCGCTCCTGTCTCAGTAAAGACAATAATTATGATGACTGGTTACAACAGTCTGGTGAATGATACAAATAATTTCACTAATTTGCATGAGGTTACAATTACCCATGCTCTCTATTTGAGTATTATGCACTTGATTGATATCATAACAAATAATTGAAGTAGTGATCAGTTTTTCCTGCTTGACACAAAAGGAATTGTACATATAGAAAACTTTAAAAACGATAACAGCATAAAATAATGCCTCTTAAAAGCTGCATATATATAATCCTCAACGATAATTACGAAAACAAAATGAACATTTACTTACAGCAATACCCAGCATTAAGGAACAAAGAAAGTCACCAATATGGAATGTGTTAATATAATGAGCAGTAAACTCGTGATATGGATATCACCCATGTAAATTTAAGGAATGAACAGGTTTCTCTACCCCAAAAAGCATCCTCCTCAAAAAATAAATTTGATATAATAATTATACATATGCAAGCTAAAACTGCCAACAAGTCAGGCAGGTCAGCAATGAAAGGTACCGCTCGATCATAATGAACCGATGAGGCAGCTTCCTGTCGTGACAGGAAACAGCTTTATGAGGGGGGGAACGGGTAATTTCGGGACGCGGGATTGGCCATTTTAATTACCTGGGAACTGGGAAATGTCAGATAAATTTTTCGTGATTCGGGAATAGAAGTCCATCGGGACGTGGGAAACACCCTCTAAAATTGTCTGGGATCTGGGAAAATTGTGTCAATTCGTCGGGATTTCAATTTCTGCGCTAATATTTTTTAAATTTTTTTTTTTATTATTTTTTTTATTAATTATGCCCAGATAAATAATACTATGTAAATATTAGTATTTATGTAGTGTTTGAAAACCTAAACTACTGAATTTCCTGAAACATGTCTACATAATTTCCTGGGAACTGGGAATTGGGATTTTATTTTACTGGGAACTGGGATATGGGGTGTTTTTTGCTGGGAAAGTGGGAATGTACCCCCCCGTTCCCCCCCTCCTATATAGCTACATCTGCAGTTTACATGGAATTAACCTTGCATTTAGTGCACTGCGTCCAGTTTATTCGACGTAAATGAGACCAATTCTTATTTTCTCCAACTCCCTTTCCCTACTAATAATATCATGCTGTGTTACATTTATTAGTAATTAATTAATCTACGACTTCAACAATGTGTATTCACATTCATAATTTCACTTGTGTTAAGGGAAACTGGAGATTACCATTATTTTCGCAATTAAAATTCCCAGAGAAATGAATTTTAAAATTTTATAATGGGAGCCAATATGAAAACGTTATTCATGTTACAGAGCTATGAACATTTTTATTGGAATGCGTTGCTTATGTGTAGTGGAAAGCAGGGTATTGCTGTATTTATGCCGTAATATGCACGAAACATTTTGTATTATATTTCATCATTACTATTACATTATACGCTGCTACACAGCACTTGCTGGTAAATCCAAAGAATCATCAACGATATTTAAACTGGTGGTTTCCCGCTTTTTCTTACTTCTCTTAGGTCTCTTGGGATACGCTAGACCTCTCCTGACATCCAACTTCGACTTACCTCTGCAACTGTCATCTTCTTGTGCCACATCTACAGCACATTTGGTATTCTCCCCCTCTCCCTGTACCGACTTCTCTACAACAGTTTCAGCTTTCTCTACCACTATCTCGTCCTCCACAGCTTCCTCCAGAGGAGTGCCAGTGATCGGGGGTGGAACCAGTGTGGCATCTGTCTCCGACCTTTCCAGGGTCAGAATTTTTCCATTAAGAGAATCCGAAAACATTCTCTGCAGAAGAACCTCCATATTTCTATGCCCTGAAAGGACATAAAGCTGATTAACAGAATATGTCATAAATTCCAGACACAATGGAAATGTTCATTAATTGCTGTGTTAATTATTTTTTCAAAATGCTTATTAATTAATTCGGATGTGTATAATTTTGATTAGGAGCTAGAGCGTAAACCAGCAGTTAGAACACAAGTGTCACTTAATCAACAAACCCACCCGATTTTGAAATGTGGAATTTGATTCCAGACTCTGAGGACAGATCCGGTAAACTTTCCAGTGAATCTGCTCTTGTGCCACCTGTCAGGAACTGGGAGATTGCACCTGGCCGTCTGTCCTCCTCCAAATCTTCTTCCATGTTGGTCACTAGGTCACACTTGTCCTCCTTTATTGACTCTAGTCTGGGAGGTTAGTGATTAGGGCACCACATTGTGGAGTCAACCGGAAGAAGAGGGGCTTGCATTTTCGAACTTCATTGATGACAGGCTTTCTAGTATCCAACTACCCTTTAATCTCTACTTGTTCAATTTGTGATGACACTGTGCTAACAAAATTCTTCAAGAACAGCAGATGATAAATTTGAAATATTTGAAAATGGGAAATGAATACTACTTTTTAAGAGAATTCACTATCTTTCTGAAGATAAATTCATTAAAAAAACAATCGTCTTTCTTGTCGTTTTATTTCCACGAGATGCCAATGTTTCACGCGGGAATTTTGTAGATGGGTCGAACAAACTGCCAAATCCATTCCACCCTGCAATAGGATAGCAGCATACATCCCTATCCCACCCTGTGTGAACTATTTGCTTGATGAAAAGCACGGTGTACACATACTTACTGTTTGAATCCGAGTCCCATGTCGAAAATTTTTCGCTCAATTGCCGTCTCATATTGGCTCTTAGAGAAGGAGTACTCGATAAGAAATGCTTCTAGCACAAACGCCGTGAAGATGCTAACCAGAGAAAAACAAATTGGAGTTGCTATTGGTTACACGTATACAACCAACCTCACGTCTCATGGTTATACTTTCACAACTACAATAAATATTGCAAGTTAAATATGAATCAAAATGTTGCAAGACAATTTGAAAAGTTGCTCACACAACAATCGACATTTCTTGACCAATAAAAACTCAGTGATCTTCCAATTCATCATAAATCTATTTTGAGTGTGAGCGGCAACCCGAGGAACATCACTCAAGATAGCCATCCATAGTTACAATCCCAAACATATACGTTATCTACAGTTCATTCCTAAACATACGTACTTCAGCAAGATTAGTACGCAGATGATATAAAAACTGATGAAGTATAGCCTTGCAGCCCGGCTTGTCACGAGAACGTGGCCTTCAGTGATCAGTGTGCGTGATTAAGGAAACTCACACAATTTCATTTAAAGTTGCTCTAAATTATTTTATATTGAGAAACCTCACACGAATTAAATCTGTAGATGAATGTAAACAAACAAAAAGACTGTGATGAGTACCAATGGCATTTTCTCAATACTGAACATTAAGTATAGTACAACACACAAGCATAAATAAAATCGAAAATTTTGCTAAATAGCATAGCAAGCATTTGAGTAAAATAATGAACATAATCATCGTATATCGCAATGGCATATGCGTGCATACTCTTAAAGGATATCATGCCACTGGTTGACAACTGTCAACTCAAAGAGCACCACCATCGAACTGAGGAAATCATTAAAGTTATTGTTGCAGTAGCGCAATGTGTAGAATTCAGAGCCTTCCAGTTTTGCATTGCCACAAAACAGTTCAGTGTCATTCAGCCCATCGTAACCATGGTAAGTAATCAATCCTCCAAAAACCTCCATTCCAATAATAGCATAGATGTAGTAAAAGACCTGGCAGTGACAAATGCAGATGGGAAAATCATGCATACAGATACGATAAGCCTATATATTACATCAATATTAATTATCTTGTTAAAGGTAACAATCTAATAAATAAGACCTAGCCAATAACATATACACATAAGGTCTCCACATCCATGCATTAAGACGGGTGTTGCAATGTAATGTGCTTATGCTGCTATATATAGATTTCAATTAAATTAACTTAATACTTACAAATATCACACTGCCGTAGGTGAGGATAGACGGTAGGATGCTCACCATCGTAGACAGAATAACATGAAACCTGCAGGCATAAACTACGATTAAATATATTATATGGAAACTGAGTCATATATCAACTACTATTTACTATTTTCATTCATCATTTGGTGCAAAATTTGCACAAACATCATGAAACTTTGAATCCATGAATCCACAGCAAATAAATCGCTTTATTAAAATTAATGGGGAATTTAACGCAGCCATAAATGCTTGGTTAACTTCACATCGTTGTAATGTAATGGGACTTCAATATTCCTCAGTCCACAAAATTGTTATTACGATAAATGTCTAGTTATAGAATGACAATCAACTAAACAGCAAGATTACTTTAAAGGGATCGTTTACTCTAGGTTCTAGGGTTATTGTCAGTTAATTTAGGTTAATATTATGCTACATAAAAAGTTTCATGGTTCAATCACCATTAGAAATATTATTAAAAAATGTTTTAAAACTAACGACTACAGTTTGATTACAACGACGGTGGCGCCACTCAAAGCGCACGATCTGATAAGTTGCGCAAAACCACTTTCCAGCCAAGGGCTACAGACTGAGGATGTTTCTTATTTATTATAATTTAAAAGCAAAAGGATTGTAATATCTTATAAACGACATATAGTTTCAGTTATAATATGGATAAATTTGCCCTAAAATGAATATTGTTCGGTTAAATAGCATTTAGGTATAAATATAATTGCACTTTTGTGATTAGCCCTCGGTCTGTAACGTGCAAAATAAATTGTCAAATACGCAACTTTTTCAGGGTGGCAGCCCGGTCGCGAGTGTCATGGCGCCATTCAAATTTCGTAGCGTTGATGTGTAATTAATTATAGCAATTATATTAGGTATCTGGTAACAAATACGTGTGGGTATTGCAGGGGCGTGTACAGGATTTGTACCAGGGGGGGGGTCTAACCGTAACCCAAACTTGCGAGCACGCGAAGGGGGGGTCTGGGGAAATTCTCGCAGAAATTTTTTGAAATTAGACCCCCTTAGATGCGTTTTCTGCGCGAGCAGGGGGAGGTCCGGACCCCCTGGACCCCCCCCCCTGTACACGCCCCTGGTATAGACGATTTGTTATACAGTAAGTACAGTTGTATGCAGTAAAATCCTAGAGGATATACTGTCCCTTTAACAGCTAATTTGAACATTGCTTGTTTCTTTATCCAGTTTACCGTTCATAGTTGGAGAGTGTCTTGGTAAGCCTGACCACTCGCAGCACCAAAAGGATATCTAGCAGTAGGCTGAGATATGCCACTAAATAAACGAAATTCTGTTAGATAGCCATACATTTGCACCTGTGCATTTGCAGTTCAACATACAGTAAAATGTGATGCCAAGCAGATGCCATCTCAGGTCGACTACTATCTCATGAAAATGTACGAGTTACCACTTTTTCTTATGAAGCTTAGATCAAATCGAAACTGAAGTATGAGGAAATCATACTATATAATACTATATAGTATATACTATATATATATCTGTAATTTTCTCATTATATATATATATTTACAGGTGATATTATGACTGAAATAAACTATCACACAATGATTAACATATGACTGCATGCGTGTGTCTACACAAACACATACAGCTAGGTGTGAAATCAAATTAAAATAGAAACAACTAATCAGTATACTTAAGTGTACTTGTTCCAGTAGTAGAATTATCATTTCCCTATATCTGTAAAGAATAAGATAGCAGCACTTACATTCCCCAGTCATAGCTTCTATCAGAGTTCCAACGAGAGCTCCTCCAATCACAATGAAATCAAATCTGGCGGAAAAAACATTAAGCATATTAAACGTTGGTGCTCTACTTACATTCTACACAGTTGTATGTGTGACTAGCAATCAGAATCATTAAACTTTCAAGTTTAACATCGTAGCTATTTAAGCAGCAGAGACTAGGCCTTTTAGTAAATACACCTACATGTTCCAAAACCTGGAGATGAACAGTGTCCAGCCAAACGTATACAACTTCATCAAGATCTCAAGACTGAAGAGCACTAGGAAGAATATCTCGAGTTTGTCGAAGCCTGCTCCAAGGAAGATGGCATTCACCAGGATGAACAAATCGAAACCCAGCCGGAAATACCTGGAGTATAAAATGATTTTTAGTCAAAACTTAAGGAAATAATTATTTCCTTGTTTGACTAAAAAGAATTTGAACACTTCAGTATTGAACCATGCAGTTTGTTCTTAATCACGCTTGGGCACAAGAAAATATCTATATATCCATCCATGTGCTGGAAGATAGCAGACTGAAAAGATCTTTAAAACTGCATTTACCCAATAAAAAGTTTAAAAAAATTTCATATACATGCTGCCTTTTTGATTGCCACATAAAAATTTCCAAAAAATGTCATTTTTAACACA